CCCGGCAGATACAGATGGAATATCTGTGGGTGCTTTGCATCAGGCCACCCTCGCACCAGCAGAGCCTGAAGCACCCACAGAAGCACGAGCAGCTGGATGCAAGCGCGCATGTGAGGCAGAACCAGCACAAAGCCAAAAGCATGGACGTTTGACCTATCAGGCGATTGATGTTGAAAGAGGTTGTCCCTTGGATTGGGAGACCACCATTGGGCAAGTTACTTTGTCGGAAGGCAAGCGCCTCGGATTGATGGTTCAGAGGAAGCATGCAGAAAAGTTTCTGCTGCCGGTAGAGGACCGGAAGCTAGCCGAGATCAGAAGCAAGCCAGTCAACTTCTTGAAAGAGGGTGATCAAATACTTTTGATCAGCACTGGGGATCACCGGCGTGAGGCCATCGCCATTCTGGAGTTTCAATCGTGCTCAAAAATAATGATCCAACATTTTGCCAAGTATGAAAGTATGCACTGTGTGAGTTCTGCAGAGTTCAGTCAAATTAGTGCATCGTGGGGCCTGCAAGGTTTCTGTTATGCCTGGCACTTTGAATTGCGTGTGAAAATCCAGCCTCCTTTACCAATCCCCGTGCAACGCGGGCCAGTGGTTTGGTTGGGATTGGATACTGCAGAATTGCTGCAGCTCGCCTCAGGCTGTCTTAGAAGAAGTTGGTCAGACTCATGCTCTTTTAGTGAGCAAGACTCCAGTTCTGCCAGCTACCCCCAAACCCCAGCAGAACTATCTGAAGATGGATCAAGTTCTGGTTTGGTTGTCCGTCTTCCTGCCGGCGTGCTGAAGAATCTTGAAGAAGCATCGGGGAATGCCGCCATTCTTGTGGCCTTTCCTTGCAAGCCATCTCAGGTCTTGTGCCTTGCAGAAGCTGGTGGGCATCGGGGCTCTTCAACCAAGATGGTGGGTAGGGCGGTCTTGTATGATTGCCAGCAAATCTTGTCTCTTAGCCAGCAAATCTTGTATGATTGCCCAATTGAAGAGTAGCGAAGCCTGGAAACTTGTCTCAACTGCTGAGAAAACTGCATGGAAGAGCCGCCTTGAAGGGGGCAAGAAGGTATACGAGTGGATTCTGAGCAATCTTGACATGTCTCCTCACGGAGTCGTGTCAATGCCCAGC